TTGAAGCAAAACAAATAAATACTATTATTCATAGATTATTAAGTCTTCTATCATAACATTACAAATGAAAAGAGGAGGAGGAACACTCACTTCTTGTAACTTATTTATAAACCAACTCCCAAACAATAATATGGACTGCCCTTTTCGAAAACCGCTTGACAAAAGAAATAGACACATGACTCAACAAACTAAGTCTATCTTTAATATCACATAAAATCAAATCAAAAGAGGATAGCCCTCAATTAGAATTTAGACTCTGGACTATTGTTAAAGCATCAATTTCCACAACAACTTTGTCAAAACTACCATCTTTGATCCAGCCGAGAGCTTCTCGGATTGTTACTGCTTCAGCTTCCTTTGGTTTGAACACCCCTTTCCAGGGATTGCATTTAGCTGCTATGAAATGCTCATGCTCGTTTCTTAGTATCCAGCTAAACCCTATTTTTCTCGCATTTCCATCTAACCGATGTATAGACTGTATTGGACTTTCAACTTTATTCCATATTTTTACTCTCTCAAAATTTTGATCAATGTTAATAATTTTATTAAGATTCACATTATAGAGATAACTTATCATCTCTTGACACATTAAAATGTACAAATGATTTGGTCCTGTTTGGTAAAAAATTGGCCTATATGCCAATTTTGGCTTATTTGATCACTATTAATTGTTTGATTTAGTTAAAATATCAATATAAATGTTTGGTTAATTAGCCTTTTGTAACTCCAAAATGCTAAATTTTAAAAAGCTACTCCAAGCAACTTTTTCAATTAGTTTTTTGAAAAACAAAATTATACCTAACAGCTAATTTACCAAACACTTTTTTAGAATAAGCTAATGTTATCAACTATTTACACCATCTAATTAACACAATCAGCTAACAGCTAACAACCATTTTACCAAACAGGACCAAAGTAAATATTAGAAATCCATGTAGTATAATTCTTTTTGAAAAAGCTTATAATCCAAATTTATTTGATTTTAGAGTGATAAATTGATAATCATAAATTTAATCTTTTCACTTCAATTCAAACTTTTTATAATATTTAGATTATAATTTTACAAGTTAATTACAATTAATTTATTTGATATATATATATATATATATATATATATATATATATATATATATAAAAGAAAGTGATCCCTCATAACAGCTCAACTCTCAATATTTTTTTATTATTCTTGTTTTTTTATATAATTTTTTCATTTTTAGTATTTCATCCGCAAAATAGAAGATTGACAACTTAAAAAAAATTGTATTCTTTAATTGTGGTATATTATTCATATTTTTGTCCAAAAATACGCTGAAATCAAGTTTTTTATTTTATAAATAAAATATCAAGACTAAAGAATATTATAGTTAAAGAACAAACATTACAAAGTACTAAAATATCATATATTAAGTCAACATTTTAATAAAGTTTAATAATTTTATTGCTCCGGTGTTAAAATTACAATTTTTTTTAAAAGCTAGGAATAACATATTGCAACAATAAAAATTATAAACTAAAATAATTAATAAGAAATAATTAAGGAATTAAAAAAATACATTTTTTACCAAACTAAAATCTCACATGTATTTCCAATGCCACACAACAATTATCTGGCGGAAGCTGTGAAATGCTCTGCTCGTGGGTGTATCTTCCAGAATTGTCACGTTTCATTCCCAAAATTCACGGAATGGTATTGTTGCCTTTGGGATAAAAAAAAAAAATGTATGATTCAGTATTGTTTCTGTGCCATGGCCAAGCCCAGCCTTCACTTTAATATGCATTCCTTCTCAATGAAAATTTCATAACCTTCTTCCCCCGTCCCTACGCAACCATTTCACTATTTCTTCACACAATTCAAATTCAATTCAATCCAACCATCCCAATTCAATTCCATTCAAACTTCGGGTGTGTTTGGTTGGTGGATTTTGCACACAGAAATGAGTATAAAAGTGATTGTTGTTGTTTGGTTGATAGATTTTTAGAACATCACTATGGGTTTCGAATATCCCATCAATTGAAAAACCCATACCCAAATACAATAAGGGTTTCATTTCCCTTATTCATTCTCAAGCACTACTATTAGTAACCATTCCCATTCCACCCTACCACCAAACATGTTAAATACTTTCACCAAAACCCATTACCATTACCAAGTATTTGATACCCATTCCGATTCCGATTCCTATGTGCGAACCAAACACACCCTTCATGTAGTTGCTTTTGTTCGTCAAATTTCAGTTGCTCCCTCAATCCTTGACAATTGTGTGTGTGTATATAGGCAAGAGATCACATGTGGTTATATGTTAAGGTAAAATCTCAGTCATTGATCTTATCAAAATCAACAGCCTAAAATGAAGACAAATTTTTTAAAAAAATGTGGTGGCATTATGATAATTTTGCGTAGGTTCAGAGTTTAAGGTGTGTAATTTTAAAATTTAAGGTGCGTAAGTTCAAAGATTAAGGTGTGTAAGTTTATAGCGTTATGCATCTAAGTTTTAAGTTCAAGGTGTGTAGATTTATACTTTAAGGTGTGTAAGTTTATAACTTAAGGTGCATGTGTTTAAAGTTTAAGGTGCGCCAATTTGACATTTAAAGTGTATCACTTAACACTTGAGGTGCATCAGTTTGACACTTAAGGTGTGTCAATTCGATATTTAAGGTGTGTTAGTTTGACACTTAAGGGTGTCAATTCAACATTTAAGGCGTGTTAGTTTGACACTTAAATAAATCAGGTTGTCACTTCATTGACACTTAAGGTGCATCTATTTTAAACTTAAGCTACATCAGTTCAACAATGAAATGAGGAGATAAGTTTACTATAATATATACTTGAAGTATAAGTGGTTGGAAAATGTCCAATCATTTTACTACGATTCATTTGAATACAAAATTAGATTTACAAGTTACAAGAAATGGAGGATGGTGGTTGGATGTTGAAAAGGTGAAGTTGATGACATTATAAATCGAACTGCAATAATCATGGCGGTGACTTGTGCTCGACGTGCCATACTCATCACAATAATAACAGTAGTGGTGATTATGTGTTTGATTGGGAGGAAAGAATTATGAATGAAAATAATTATAATTCAGTATGAAAAAAATAATGTAGGAATTTAAATTATATTTTTAATAGGTATGAATAGAATTATTGTGGATGGGAAGAAAAAAAATGATATACAGACTTAAATGTCATTGTGTAATAACACTCTGTAACAATAATATCAATTACCAATGATACTTTTGTTTATTTTTTTCATTTTTTTCCCACAAGTATTGAAGTGCAATTCATGGGGTACCCCATGAATTGTGCAATTCAACAAAATGATAAAATTGTAATTTTTTCAAACCAAACACAGTAATTTATCTTTGCAATGGAAAATAGTAGGAAAGGAGTTCCAACTACATCCAACCAAACACCCCATCAATGTATATGATAGTGTTATTTTTCTCACGATTATTGAGTGATTAAATAACAATAGTTCCGCTTAAATTGATCGAATAATTGACTTGATAATTACAATATTCAAGTTTAATTTATTATGGTAATTTTCTATTAATCTTTCTGAGCTAGTTATGAGCAACTTAAAGTGTGTTGTTTATTTGTGGATTACAAGATAGACTTCACTGTTGGATAGTAATTTCAATTTTTTTCATAAATTAAAGTGGTTATTGATGGCCAATTACCATATAGTGTTATGACATCCCGGTTACTCATCTAAATTGTTGGATGGTCATAAATTTGAACTCCGATGATGAGGGCTTAGATTCTTTAAAAAAAAATAAATGGTTATTGATTAATACACATATATAGATAGTCAAATGTTATTATGGACCAAGTGTACTCATACTTTTGTTAAATCTGTATTCTCTATCATTGAAACATATGAGAATTATGGGCCAGTTACTAACTAGAAAATTTATCAATTTTTTATTTATCAAATTTTATAAAAAAAAATTGAAAAATTAGAGAACATAAAATAGAAAACAGGTTTATTAGCACAATTTTTTATTTTGAAAACAATAAATAATTTTTGAAAAACTGTTTCCTAAATTGAAAACAGAATCAGCTATCATCTATTTGATTATACTATAACCACATATCACCACCATTTATCTATTTACATATTTATTCATTACTATAATTACATTTATTATCATCTTATTTTACTTATCAACGCATCTTATCTTTTCTAATCACATTTACTTATATAAATATATCTTATTTGTAGTTATGTTATATCGTAATACACGTTTGGTCCAAATATCGGATATTGAAATTTCACATATATTACTATATTAGAATTCAAAATAAATTTTATATATTTGTATACATGTCATCCAAATGAATATATCCAAAAATATTTTAAATATTAGCTCAAAAAATATTAATATCATCTAAATTAAATTTTAGGTGAACTTAATAGGTTACTGGTTCGGAAATATTTTTAGTTATGTTATATACAAATATAAATTTGGTTTTGATATCAAAGGTGAAAATCTTACAATATACCTTTTAAAAATTAACAGTTTATATATAGAATACACAATTTTAACATATATGTAATTAATTACTATGTTTTATATTCACAATTTCCTTTCAAATATTACAGTCACACAATATTATCAGATTCAGATTTAATGACTTTATATTGTATTTACAAATTACTTTCTACAATTATTATGAATTTTGATTTAGAAACACAATTTATATTCTAAAAATTAAAAATTCACAATTCCAATACTAAAAATACACAATATATACGTCAATTAAATCAAGATTTACCTTACAAGATAGACCTGTTATATGATATAACAACTCGTCTCTAGTCTAGTCTAATATAAATTGGTATATTTGTCCGAAATAGGAAATATTAAACAGTAATAGACAAATGAGAGATAAATATCATGTCACTGTTGCAAAAGTATGACATAAGATAGAGAATATATATAAAATGGTAATTCCAAATTTCGAATTAGAAAGAAACACATATATAGGGGCGCACACACAGAGTTGTAAAACTCCAAAACCGCCAACCCTTCTCTCCCTCTCAGATCACAGAAGCGACGACACCCACCTGCGCCCAACCCTTCTCCGTCTTAAATCCTCTAAAACCCATCCAATATCCCAATATTTACGGCTCCTCCCATCCCAATACCTTCAATTCTTCGCCCAATGTACTGAGATTTATTTTCTCCCCGTTGGGTTGGAGTGGGATTTGGCTTGGCTGGAATGAATGCTTCTGAGTTCCTAGTCGCCGACACCATTCCGGCCTGAGTTCAAAGATAGGGAGAGAGAACGACGAACACGTGAGTTGTGGCGTGCACATGGCAAAGCGCGTATACCAAGTTTGGAAAGGAAGCAACGTGAGAATTTTGTCTTTTCTTGCTTTTGTAATCTCGCCATTGCTTCCGTCTTCGTTAATTTCGCTGGAGATTTTAGTGGTCTTGTTTGATTTAGTTCTGATTGCTTCCTTAATCGTAATTCTAACTTTGACTTGTATGCGTGGCCATTGTTCTCAGACTAGTTTAGTCAATAATGGCGACACTGGATTGGATATTGAAAGCACTATTCTGATATTTTTAGGTTTTTTTTCAGTAGCCAAGCATTGTTCTTTCTCCCAAACGTATACAGTATACTGTTTTTTTCTTCCAGTGCGTGTAAGATGAGACTAAACCATCAGTTCTGTTGTATGGTACTTGCAAATATTTTGATAACTTCTATCATATGCTTGTTATGGTGTACTGGTTAGAGATTTATTTTGTATCCTTTCCCAGCTCTATAGGTATTCACTTCCTCAGACCATGCAGCTGTATAGAATTTGCACAGTAACACACTACTATGGAAAATGGATTACTTGTCTCCAGGCAAATGGAGAGAGGACTAAACAGAAATTTTATTACAAATGAAATTCTGGGAAGTTATATATGATATAACAGATTGAATTCCAGCTAACACACACATACAATTGATAGTTTGATACACAACCCCCTTTTTCTCGAGGAAAATTCTGTATAGCATAGTAGATATCTTCAACGTAGATAACACTTGTAAAATAAATAGATATCTTCCAAGTTAGTTAATAGGATGCTATTTACCTAGATAATTTTATGTGATCAAAATGCCTAGTTATTAGCTATGAATGAAACTACTTCTCATTCCATGTTATTTTATGGAGTTGTGTATGAACATACTTATAACTGAGTACAAAAGAAAGAGGAGGATGGTGTGTAGTTCCAGATGTAGAGATAGATGAGAGCATATTGAGCAAAAACTTTGATGTCGTTCATGTACCTGCAATTTATATAAATAGAGAAATTTGATTTAGCTTCAACCCATGAATGCTAGTTGAAGTTATTGAGTATCAGAAGTGAGAACTCTGAAACTTATACATTGTCTGTATTGCTTATATATCTCTTCAGAGAGGGTTACGTTCTATCTGTATTTTATCCTTTCTTGCAAATGGAAAAAACATTCTTGCTTATTCTCTGCATGCTCTTGAGTCTTGAAGACACCAATCAAGGACTAGTATATGATTAGATGGTGACATGATGTATGCTGCAGAATTTTTATGTTATATTTTTATTATATAGTAAAGGCATTTTTCTTTTATATGCTTCACCTCGTAAACCGTTTATGATTTCACTCTAAATCTCTGATCTATTAATTAATTGGCAACTTGTATATCTGTATGCGTGCTATCCTTGAGTAATTCCTATTCAAGTTTTCTAACAAGCTAATTTTTTCTTATACAGAAGTTTTTTCTTGGTGGAAGGTTGATATTTGGACCTGATGCAAGATCATTGCTCATCACTTTACTACTAGTCATTGTGCCAGTTACTATTTTTTGTGTCTTTGTTGCGAGGCATCTTCGCCATCAGTTTTCACCGCATAATGCTGGATATGCTATTATAGTGGTATCAATTGTCTTTACCATTCATGTAAGTCCTGTTACTACTCATTTCACTCTGGAATACTGTCTTATGCACATGATTGTAATGTTCCATGTACATGGATTATATGGTGTTACTTATGCTTATTGATAGATTTCAAATGATATTGTTTTTTTTTTTTTTTTTTTTTTTTTTTTGGGGTTTTTGCGTCCATACATATCATTCAGTGCTTCTCCTTCCTCCATTCGCATACAGGAGATGAACAATCCATAATTCAAAAGCATGATTGAACTTCTGAGCATAATGTTAAATGAAATCACATTATTCCATGTGACTTTAAAGGCATATGGCTGACATTGTCGTGCCTCTGATAATTCTATGTTACATAATCCTTATGATATGGAAAATTGCGTAACACTTGTGAAGGGAGAATGCCACCCAGTGGATTGGGCTTGGCCCACTCACTGCATTTGAGGAAGTGCATCCAGCCATCCACCCCCCATAGCCTCTACCATCAGATACTAATTGTGGTGTATTGTAGAAATTTCCATCGGGTTTCTTTTTTGGTTTTGTTGGGCATTATGGCCTATGGTTGTGTCGAGTAGTGTCAAGGACTCACTATGTTGATACTTAGTTTACATGATGAAAGGGTCTAATTTGTAAATCTTGGCAGTTTAGAAGTGTTAAATTGATGCAGTGCCCGTTTCCTTTAAATAAAACGTCTATACAAGTTAGAGTTGTGCATGAAAGGATTGGTGGCAATGAGGCATTATTTATGAATAGAACAGAGACTGGGCTCTTGGTTATGACTTATGAGCTATTCCTACTAATTTAAGAAGGGGGAACACTTTTCTGTATTTGGAATGGTGTTTGGAAATAGGGTTGGTGCTTCCAAAAAGATCATTTAAAAACTATGCATGATATGCAATCAGAAGGCAAAGCATGGCCTGAGGTAGAAACCAGAAAGGCTAAAGCCTCCTCAAAGTAGTAATTATGTGCTTAAAGCTTTTCAAAATCAACACTTTGGCAGACTCAGCTAACAAAATATTATTCAGCCTAAATTGTTTTTCCTTGTGTCTGAGATTTTGCTAGTTGTGAAAAGTCCAACTTGCATAACTTTTCATGGTATGAAGGTAGTCTAGCATGGCATAGCCTGGATTATGAATTTTGCTTGTATCCTAATATGTTGCAGTTATAGGACAACCTATTAGATAGGATTTGAATACCCATTGAAGACTTAGTGTAATCTCTGATAGGTCCATGGGCTAGTGCAATCTCTACCCAACTTCACTCTTTTAACGGCAAAGATTTGTGTAAAGTAAAATTTTGTAGCCCTGTAAGTTCCTATTTGCATAGTTTGTTTAATTAGCCTAACTTTTGCTTCATTAGGATTGCCTAGTTTTTTTTTTTTTTTCATTTCCGTTCTTATTTGTTCATCTGTTTGGCAGAAGAAAGATTATGTAGTGGCCTAGACTAAGTACTCTGATATTTTTTCAGGTATTGGTGTTACTTTTACTTACATCGGCTCGAGACCCTGGAATTGTTCCACGGAATTCACATCCACCAGAGGAAGAGTTCCGTTTTGACGCATCAGTAGATACTGGTGGAAGGCAAACACCAAGCCTTCAATTTCCTCGAACAAAGGAAGTAATGGTTAATGGAGTTCCAGTAAAGGTGAAATACTGTGATACCTGCATGCTCTATCGGCCTCCTCGCTGCTCTCATTGCTCAATTTGTGACAATTGTGTTGAACGCTTTGATCATCATTGCCCATGGGTGGGGCAATGCATAGGGTTGGTAGGTATTCACACAATACAGTCAAATTTCTTGCTCCTTAGATTTATAAACCTCATTTGTATCTAAGTTAATGAAATTGCCATCTTATGATGATTTATTGTCCCCTTTGATGATGCAGCGCAACTACCGTTACTTCTTTTGCTTCGTTTCTTCTGCAATGCTTCTCTGCATCTATGTATTTGCCATGTGTGCTTTCTATATTAAGGTTCTGATGGATGATAAACAGAGCACAGTATGGAGGGCTATGAAAGAATCTCCGGCATCTGTTATTCTCATGGCTTACTGCTTTATTTCTTTGTGGTTTGTTGGTGGACTCACTGGCTTCCACTTATACCTCATCAGCACTAATCAGGTCAGTTTTCTTTCCTCATAATATTCTTGGCTAAATGTTGGTATTTAGTTCCTCCTAGGTTTGTGTCTTATTTTAGAGGTTTGGTTTGAGCATTGAAAACAATATTGGAAAATAGAGATTATATTTCACATATCTTTCTTCACAGATCTGGATGTTGCCAGAGCCTTGTGCATTCCATCTCTAAAATTAATTAAAGCCATCCTGTGACTCTTTGAGTGCCACAAAAATTACTGCTAATTTGGGCACATAATGTTTTAGAGAATTAATCAAAGCTTTTTAGTTTCTGTTATGTTGAAAACTCTATTGTCCTGTAGTGCATTCCATCTCTAAAATTAATTAAAGCCATCCTGTGACTCTTTGAGTGCCACAAAAATTACTGCTAATTTGGGCACATAATGTTTCAGAAAATTAATCAAAGCTTTTTAGTTTCTGTTATGTTGAAAACTCTATTGTTCTGTATCATGATGAAAAAGGGTGGATGTCAAATTTTGATGATGATGATATTTAATGCACGTCTCTGGATATTTGCCATAACTTGTATATGTGGGGTTCTCTTGCCAGCTCTGTAGCCAAACTTGTACGTTAGATTTCTTGCATGAATCTGTGCATTCTGTTTCTTGTGGTGTTTTAATGAGATGGCAATTCTTTAACCTTTTTTTTAAAATTATATAAATTTTTAGTTCCTTGGATCCTGTATTTGACAAAAAGCCTTTGTTATGTGGGGATATAACTGATTTTGCAAATAAGCAATCAATAACTTGAAAATAAAATGGGCACTTGTGAAGTATGCATTTGCCATTATCAAGTTGCTTTATTGATTGTAAATTTCTATGGGATTACATATATATCGTTTCTGAAGTAAAAATCTGACAATCTTAGAAGGACATTTTATCATTCTCATTATCAGTTGTTTCCATCACAAAAAGGGGTAATGGGGGAGTATTCCTAGGGGAATGGTCTGAATGGAAAAGAATTTAGGTTCATTTTGAACTAGAAAATAGGACTTGTTGCAAATTCTGTAATGCTTGTTTTGAGAACAAGGTGACTCTTTTGGTTTAACTTATAAATTGATGAACCTCAAGGAATACTATGAATTACCATTTTGGGTTAATATGATCCCTGTTGTCTAACTTTATGTAGAATTATTACCAATACTTTCGTGTTCAATTCCCTCTCAATGCTTATTCTTTTTAATGCAAATCTTCTGTCCATTTTCCTTTATTTTAATGCTGTCAGGGACAAAATGGATGGAAGCCTTTTCTTGACTTAAAATGGATCTATTCCGTGAATCCTTTGAAAATTTCCTTTGAATCTTGAGATTGGTTCTAGGAATTTGAGTAATGTGCTATGTTTTACTAGACAGACAAAGTCTACTAGTAAGATGGCCTAAAATGGAGGTATATATGGTGGGAGTTCATACAAACCACTGGTGTCTATGTCTGGATCTTGGATAAATAGGAACATTCTATTCTTTTTATTTTGTCTGTATGCAGCTATATTGTATTGCATGTTAACTGAAATTATCATCTTCTGACATTTCCTTGCATTCCTCGTTCTATGTCCTTGTGTTTTTATGAGAACTCCAGTTACTGGTTTCTTATCTTTTTGGCAACTTGTAAACTATATCCTGACATCAACTATGTTTATGTGCTTCAATTCATTGTCCAAACTATCCATGATTTTTGACGTGCTACCTATTCTACTCTCCAGACGACCTATGAAAATTTCCGGTACAGATCTGACCACAGGCTCAATGTTTATAATCGTGGATGTTTGAATAACTTCTTTGAAGTATTTTGCACAAAAGTAAAGCCTTCACGGAACAACTTCAGGGCCTTTGTTCAAGAGGAGCCACCAAGGCCTCCTTTGCCTACAACTCGGGAAGGTGAAATGGAGGAAATGTGTGAGGATCGACGTGCTAAGGTAGAAGATGATCTAGACATTGGCGGGGACCTTTTAAAGATCTCACAGCGTCATGATATTGAAGACATTGAAGCAGATATACGCAGTAGAGGGAGTGATGTGCCCCACCATAATTCCTCTGAAGCTGAATCAGTAATTGGTTCAGAGAGGAAAGCTCCATCTTTACAATCAGACGCACGGCTTTCTAGTTGGGAAAGAAGAAGTGGGAGCTGGGAGATTGCCCCCGACGTTGTTGGCACAAACGCCAACGTCACAGAGAGCAGAAGTGTTGGCGCTTCAAAGGAAGCGTATCAATGAAAAGTATCATCCTGTACAGTCGTAATGGCTGACATTACTTTTTTTTCATTTATTTTTTGGTTCGCCGCAGCAATTGTGCCATTCGTTTAGGAGTAAATGTTAAATGGTGTCAAATGTTACTTACGTTTTAGGTGAAAAGAATGTGTATTGCAATTCATTATTTGCCCTCGTGCATTTTTCTTCACATTACTTTCTTGGATATGATTTGATGGATAGACTTGATTGTGTAAACTAGTTGCATTTGTTCATATTTAAACAACTTTACTTGAAATTCAATCAAGATTCCTTTGGCATGTTTAATTACAATGTGTTCCAAATTATGTTTCAATAGTTTAACATTCATTTCATCATGTACTTGAAGAAATTTTAAGGTGTGCACCAGTGCCTCTTACATTAAGTACAACTCAAAAAGTTTTGAACGTTGTATTGAACGTTTAGTCACTATTTGAGGATATGGATAATTTAAGAGCATTCCCATTAGGGATTTAGGACCAGTTTTTGAGGAGAAATGAGTGAGGTGAGAGAAAAATTGAGGTCAATAAATGAGTTTTTAGTCGAAAATGTGGGTCCCACTTAATTATTTTATTTATTTATTTTTTTTTTGTTTCTGCTCGTTGCGCAGAACTTGCGCGTCCAAGCAGTATTTTAGTTTTTCAGATTTTATTTTGTTTATTTCTCTTTTTTTCTAATCACACATACAAAAACTCTTCAAAAATCTACCATTATTGAGAATGCTCTAAGATGTAACTCTTTTTGGGCACTACGACATGCAAAACATACATTTTTGTTGTACTTGTTGCAAGAGAAACGGTTTTTTGGTTGATTCATAACAAAATATATTATTTTTGAATAGTGTAAGACAAGTCCACTGCTACTCGGAATTGAATAGGTGTATAGGACTGGAGTGGGTTTCTACTTTTCAACAGTCATAAAAAGGAAATGGAGAAAGACTATTAGATAGATATGTTCAAAGTATTATTGTTCTTTCTATTCAAATTATGAGACAGTGTATATTCATTTATTCTAAACATTACAAGACTGCAAATGCAAAACATGGAAGTTACTGTTTAGTGTGGAATTATTGGTCTTTAGACCAGTTCAATGTCATTGACTCTTTGAGTGGAAAGAACTTAGACCTAATTTATACAACTCCACAATATACAACTTTCTAATTGAAGAAAATTCCTGATTTTGAAATTTCAAGTTCATTGAATTTAATTTAATCTGTCTAGCATTAGCTTCTCTTTTTTTTTTTTTCTGTATACCAAACAAACTCTAGACATGTAAAAAAGAGTTATGTCGTTCTATTTTTTTACTGTGATAATTAATCTTTAGTTTTTAAATATAACTTAAATTTTCCCCTTTCCCCTCAATCTATGAGCAAATATCGTGTGAGAATATTAATTACTTTCTAAATATTTTCTTAGTATTTTCATTTAACCCAAAAAAAAAAAAAAAATGAGTTACCTATTGGGCAAATTCTTCTATGAGACCTCGAGGTTTTTTTTTTTTTTTTTTTAAGTATTACATTTTCCTACATAAATATTGTAATTTTAAAAATAAATAATTTGTTCGACTCTTAATATTACATTTTGATTTTTAAAATTATTATTATTATAATTATTTTTATTTTTATTACTTATTTTATATATATATATATATATATATATATATATATATATATATATATATTCTCAAAAGTATTACACTTTTCATTATAAGTAACTGTATAATTTATTCTTGATTAATATTACATTTATATCGTGACTCAACCCGTCTCACATAGGTTTTTTGACTGAAATGTGTCATTTTGTGGAAGAAGATACAAGAATATGACACTTTTTAAAATTGTACAAAATAGAGAAAAACTCATTTGCGACTTAAGTTTCTTGTAAAAACGCAAGTCGCAAATGAGTTTCTCAAAAATTAAAAATGATTTTTTTCTGCTAAAATACAACAAAATGCATGTCCCACATGCATTTCTCATATCTGACCCAATACTTAGGAGTTCATGATTAACCAACGATAATTGAGAAACGCATGTGGGCCCGTGGAACATGCATTTTGTCATAATTTAGTGAAAAAAAAATAATTTTGATTTTTTGAGAAACTCATTATATTTACGAGTTGCGTTTCTGACAAAAAACTTAAGTCGCAAATGAATTTTTCTTTATTCTATACAACTTTAAAAAATGTCATATTCTTATCTTTTCTTCTGTAAAATGACACATTTCAATTATTCTCCCTCTCACATATAAAATGAATCACGAGACAATAACCTACAAGTGAACTTTCATCATAAAAGTGTATCACGAGCATGGTTGCAATAGGCGCTAGGCGCTAGTCGGGCGGTAGAGTAGCGCCTAGCGCCTAGCGCCTAGACGGCCTAGGCGGGGCCTAAGCGGCCTAGGCAGTCGCCTAGGCGGCTAACTGAAAAAATGGAAAACAGTGCACGTGTGTTTGTATGTATGTATGTATGTATGTACATACATACATACATACATACATACATACATACATACATACATACATATATATATATATATATATATATATATATATATATATGTCATATAAATTAAAAAAATTAGCAAGGTCGAGTCGGCCGGGTTAACTCGGCTAACTCGACAGAAATTGACGAGTTAACTCGGCGTAATCGGTCGAGTTAGGCGCTAGGCGGCCAAATTAGGCGCTAGGCGGGCGCCTAGGCGGCCGGTCTCCTAGGCGAGAGCCTAGGGGAGAAATCGCCACGGCCTAGGGGCGCCTAACACCTAGGCGCCGATTACTCGGTGCCTAGGCGGAATTTTTGCAATCCTGATCACGAGACAATAACCTACAAAAGTGAACTTTCATCATAAAACTTAATAACTTATAATGAAGTCTAATATTCAACTATGCGGCACACACAACGCGTTGCGCATGTATAATAAAACAATAATGAGAGTAGTCAGTTGTTGTCCTTCAATTCCATCGTCTTCAAACTTCAATCATAATCACCTTCAATTCATGCACTCATTATTAATACCACCTTACTTAGAGTTTTTATTTTATTTTTTATTTTTACTCATTTTATTATTATTATTTTTTAAAAATAGAACGAATAAGGAGAAGAAAAAAACTGTCAATAAACTTCACGTACCCCAACATTTTCTTAAACTTCTAAAACTCTGCCCAACCCCTCCACGCATCCTCTCATCTCTCTCCTCCACATAAGAAAAATCTCGACAAAAGTTCTACTATTGTTACTTTTACGGGGCATTTGGTTAGAGAAAATTACAATTCTATTCGCACATAATTCTTACATAATTTCGAAGGTAAGCAAATTCAATTCTATCGTTTGGTTGGAGGGAATTGCAATTCCACGAAACTGAAATTCCCTCATTTTCATAGAATTAGAATCTTATGCCCCCCTTGATATTTAACTCCATGGGTAGGAAGAAAAAAATAACTTTCCTATCTTTAAAAAAAAAAAAAAAAGAAAAAAGAACTTAAAATAGATGTTTGACCTCTTTCGATTATATCATGTTTTCTTCTTATACTCTCAATAGAGAATGTCAATCAAAAGACCAACTTCAATCAAATATGTTTTCTCAAAATTCTATTATCTATTTTATTGCTTTCGTTATGTAATTCTATAGTTTATTTACAGCATGTTACATAAATTTTCTAAACCACTTTATTATCACATTATCTATCTCCCCATAGAATTACAATCCCTTTCCAACTTAATTCCCTCAGTGCAACTAAACGGCCTATTAATATCAATTCTTCCATTGAGATATGTAGAAGTAGTATGTTCCAGGTGACCAGGTCGTCTTACGTTTTAAAGACCCAATCATGAAAGTGATGAAACACAGAACGCACACATTCTGCCAATTAAGTGTTCAAAATCGCAATAATAATGTGCGTACCATTCCCATTACCTATCAAGAATGTATTTGTCAGCAATCATGTTATGCGTCAACTCGTCAACGTGCCTTACATTTTGTTACGGAGTATATTAATAAAGATGTTATATACACTAGTGGCTAGTGCAGTAGTGCACATGTATTTAACATGTAAATAGGTTGAAATAATTCTAAGGTACCTAAAAAAAAATAGAGTAATCACATTACCTTAAAATATTACAGTCATATGTATCAATTTTGAGGTAATATGACATTATCAAGTAATTTTATAACTTGAACCAAGTAAGGTAATATAATATACATTATCAAACTTAAATTACTTAGGTAATTTAAGATTACTTGAACCAAACGCCCCTAAGAGTACATGAATATAATGCCCCTTAAGTTTAGGGACAAACTTATTATATATAATGTGATGTATTATAATACTATTTTTTGAAATACTCATGATTCTTACCAGGTAATATATATTTTATACGTTCTCAAATATTTTTAGTCCAAATAATTTAAGTCCCCACTACCGGAGTAATGTATTATTATATTTTCAATGCTAAATTAAAAAAGATTAAATTCAATGGCCCTGTTTGGTAAATGGCTGTTAGCTGATAGTTATTAAATGTTAGCTGATTGTGCTAATTAGAAAGTATAACTAGTTGATAATATTAGCTGTTGTAGAAAAATATTTGGTAAATTAGCTGTTAGCTGATAGCTGTTTGATATTATTCTTTTCTTAAAAAGCTAATTGAAAAAGTTGCTTAGAGTAACTTTTTGAATTTTAGCATTTTGGAGTTGCAAAAAACTAATTAACCAAACACTTATATTGATATTTTAACTAAATCAAACAATTAATAGTAATTAAAAAAAAAGAAGTCAAAATTGACCTATAGGCCAATTTTTTACCAAACAGGGCCAATACTTTTCGCACTTAATAAAAATCTACTGCTGAGATGACACCTTTGTGGCTCTCCTTGAGGGAATGTCACAGGATCAAACCCGGGTGATGGGGTGTTGATTCTTTAGACTGCATTAGTTAGAGAAGGTATAAAACAGATACTATATTGTAATAGAGTTAATAGTATTACAAAAAAATCTACTGTTGAGCAAAATCGATACATTTCGCACTTAGGGTGTGTTTGGAAACTCGAAAAATAATTTCTGGAAATCATTTTTCGGATTACTGGTGTTTGGCAAGCAATGAAAAACTAAAGTCAATGGAAAATAACTTCTGGTCAAAGGAAAATTATCTTGTTTTTTAGGAAAATAACTTCCCCTTTTTTTGGGGGGAAGTCATTTTCCAGATTCATTTTGGCGACATTGTTAATCTTCTCCTTTCACACTCTTCCTCTCTCCTCTCTTTTCTAAGCAATGTCGACCATTAATTCCGGTGGCAGCTTCAATTTTCCGGGCGATGAATTTTCGACACTGCAGCAGCTTCAGTTTTCCGGGCAACGAATTTTCGGCGCTGCAGCAGTTTCTTCACGGCGCAAATTTCTGGGCGCAACATCCGCTTCTCCGGCAACAGTTGGTGCCTGGTGACCTGGTGGCGTTTTGATCTGCCAGCATCACATTCTTTCTACATTCAACAACAAAATTGTATTTAATTTGGTGAAAAGCAAATCAATTTAAGATGTGATTTTGGCAGCTTAAGTACGTTCAACAGCAAATAATTCCAGAAAATGGGATTAATTCCAATTTGAGATATACCAGATTTTGCTTTGTTTGTTACTTTCAATTGCAATTTTATTTTGATTTTTATATTCTTAATTAAAAAGAATTAAAAATTTTAATTATACAATTTTAACTCATTTTTCAGAAAAGGAACCAAACACACAAAGATAGTTTTCTATTGTGCATCTAAACACCGAAAAAGAAAATATCTTCTGAAAAATGACTCATTTTCTAGAAAATATTTTTCAAAAGTCATTTTCCTACTTTCCAAACGGACCCTTAATACAAATACTAAAACTTTTAATTAGACTCACCTTAAAATATTCTGCGAAAGGGGGCGTAATCTTCGGATTAGAATGTTCCAAGTAAAGTTTAGTTAGCATATTACATTATTACTTTACCGGAAATGGTAGGCAAGCGACCAAAGCATATTTACCACTTCCAGAAACAGTAAAATATTCCTGCAAAAGCAAAGCACGTGTTAATTGTTCATTGTCACCAACCCTGACACGTCATATCTCTGTCCAAAACAACAACGTTGTCCTTCGCCTTCATACGTGGGTATGGGACCCATTTCTGGAGTTTCATTTTTAAATAAGATTTCTCGCATTACACGTGGGGCGGTTGCCGGTTGATGTGTCGCTTCCACAGTAGCTTCATCTTTTATGAAATAAAAAAAATTTGATAACGTGTTTCCTTTTTATGGAATGAAAAATAAAAAATATAAATTATTACGGAATAATATTCTATATATTTATCTCATTCTCACACACAAAAGGCGAAATCTTTTGCAACGAAAATTTTACATTCCAACCCGTCTAAATGATGAATGGATAAGTTACGGTGACTCATCAAAACTCGTAAGTGATATTTACCTCATTCTCCCTCAACAATAATAGGTAATGTATTCTAAGCATAACTATTTTTTTAATTTGCTTCAAAATTTTAAACATATTTTTGAATTTTTCATTTTGTATAATTTTGATGTCCTCGTTCATTTTAAGTATGATTTTACATGCATTGGGAGTGTGAGTCGATCAATATTCATTGATAATAATAAACAAATATGAAAGATTGTGGCATTTATCACAAATTATTTAATTTGGTATAATATTTAGAGAACAAGAAATTATATTTTTGTAATCAAAATGCAACCGCCCAATAATCTTTCGGATAAAACAATTATATTTGTACAAACCTAATGAACATAAAATGGTGATACATTTTTACTCCGCATAAAGATAAAATAACAATTATATTTTTTTCTGTGTAGTTTGCAGATTATTACAGAGAAATTGAATTTATCCAATGCACAATACACTATCTAATAGTTATGATTGGTTTTCTCATGATCCCAAAAAATATAACAATGATGGTCCTGTTCTATTCTGAAACTACAGATCTACGAATGAAACTGTAAACCAATAATTAAACAAAGGAAAAGAATGGAGTACGTATTTTGTATGGAAATTAAAACTGAAATTCAACTAGAAGAGGGAGGATATTGGCTGCCGGAATTAGTCCAATAAGGTGATTGAAAAGAGGAGCCGGTAGTCGGGCTTTGACTTGATTGTGGCCGGAAATAACTTGACTGCTGACCGGAGAAGGTCATCAGGGGAAATGGACCTGAAGGGGCGGTTATTGAAGGAGAAGAGGAAGGGAACGAATGGGAATGGAAAACCGCCATTGAAGAGGAGCGGAACATTTGTTCTAACAAGCTATTAGGCCGCTGGCCGTGAACGTCGCCGGGGTTCTGAAGCAACTGGGAATATGCCAGATAGTCTCCGGCGACGGCAGGGCTACCTTGACTAGGCTGCAGATGAGCTTGATAGGACGGTTGAGATGGGGCGTTGGCCGGCAATTGGGAGGCCGAAATGGCGGCGGCTTGCGGCGGCGGCAATGATCGAACGTTTTCCGGGAAATTTAGCTTGGCTCTGTTGCCTCTGAACCTAAGCGCTGCTTCATCATATGCTCTGGCGGCCGCCTCCGCCGTCTCAAATGTTCCTAACCAAACTCTTGCAGCCTTCTGCGGATCCCTTATTTCCGCCGCCCATTTCCCCCACGGCCTCTGTCTAACCCCTCTATATCTTCTTCTTCTTTCTCCACTCCCTTGATCTTGTACAGCAGACGCTACGGCGGTTGTGACGGTGGAGGTGGCGCCGACCATGATAGGTGGTGTTATGAAGTTCGTAGTTTCTGCAATCAAAGATTAAAGATCGAACAAAACATTAGATTATATATTCCATTCTTAAATAGGACATTAGACGAAATTAAATTTTTTTGAAGTGATTATAAGTTTTTTTCGGAATAAATATTTTGATTTAAAGCAAATAGTGCATGCTATGATAAACCTCCCATATGGAGCTTGATAATAGGAGTACATGCAATAATATACGTACTCATTATGAAATTAAATACAAAAATAAAATAAATATATATTTTTTGCAAAAAAACAGAAAACAATTGAAGATGAAAAATTGAACTAGAAATGAAGAAAAGATAGAGAATTATGGGAAGATAACGGAGAAATGAATGAGTATAGTACCAAGTTTAACAGAGGATGACGATGATTCTCCGCCTCTAAACCCTCCATAAACCCTCGGAGCTTGTTCGGCGAACTGAGTTACACCCTCTTCTTGATCCCGTCGCCTCTTCTGTCCGGCCAATGAGCCGGAGCTCGACGATGAATACACAGACGACGGTGAATTTGCGGAATAAACTCCGGAGCCGCCAACTACCGGCGCCATAACGGGGGGAGCGGTTTCCGTCTGATAATAACTCCTCTGCTGTCCCGACACCACATGCGTCAGCGCCGTCACCATTGCCGACATCTCCCTCATCTGACCAAATTCCGAAAATATCGGCGGCGGCGCAGCCGCCGACAAAACACAGTCGGTTTCCGTCTGTAACTGCCGCTGCATGATTCCTTCAAAAGATTCCGTATACCCAGATTCTACGGCGCCGATTTCTTCTCTCCGGTTGCCCGCAGCCTGAAAAATGGCAAACTCATCGGAATCTCCGTCGTTCGCCACCTTTATAAACATGCACATAAACCCTCCGCAAGATGGCGCTTTCCCAGTCGAGATAGAGAATTAGAACTAACACCCTAGCTAGCTACCCTTCTCTGATCTGATCTATATAACAACCAAACAAAAGACTTTTACAAAATCAAACCGATCTTCCCATTCCCGCAATTTGTATCGAATTTGAATGCTTTCAATTCAATTATTTTCTGTCACAGGTGACTTTTTCAGAAGATCTTAGCTAGTAGGAAGAATATATAAAGTGTTGAATAGAGTTGTACGCCGCCAATGAAACAGTACGTGCTCGATCATAAGGATCAACCCATAAATTCCATAATTTATTTCTAATAATATAATTAATTAATCCGTAATAGTCACGACATAAACATAGTATTTTGTGTTGTTTTCAATATTAATTTTACATGTTTGATGGTATGCCCCTCAAATAAATATAAATATGCATAGTATAAAGTGGGTTTGGATATTGCTGACCTGCCAAAACTACCATAGCACCATGCATTTAGCGGCCGACTAAGGATGTGGGTGTGAGTGTGTTCACATTGTTTGTTTGACTGAGATCAGAATAGGATAGGATAGTAAAGTGAATTTACATAAATACACCTTAGCTTCCTTGGTTCTTAATCAAACAGATCCGTTCTTTATGATTAATTTGTCGGTTTGTTTGGTGTGGGTGAAAGAGAAAGAGAAAGAGAGAGAACAGGGGAAAAGAAGGAAGTCATGTTTGAATTGTGCTCTTCATTTTTTTAAAATTTATTTTTATGGGTTTATGAATTTGGTTCATTGAATTTATTCAAGAAAACTGATGAGACGTTTGGGCTTCTTGCTTACGCACGGTTGTATTGAATGAGCTCCCTGTCCCCATTAGGGGGATTGTTCACAGATTTAAATAAAAAAGGAAAAATGGCACTTTTTCTCCCTGAGTTATATACTTATAGTACTTTTTCTCTCTCAATTATTTTAGTGGCTGTTTTTCCCCCTAAAATGTTAAATGGACATATTTACTCTTAAAATAAATATTTTATTTATTTTTCTTCTCCAACAAATTATGACCATAATTTGGTTCAAACCAAATAAACACTATAGCAACCAAACTGAAATATTCCAATTACAATTTAGAATCGAAACTCGATATTTAGAGTTTATTAAAATCCCGGAACAGACGGTTCATGTTCCGAACTGAAAAAATAAAATACATTTATTGTTGAATTTAGACTATTTTTAAAATAAAAATAAAATTTTAAAATAAAAACGGTTCAAAATCGCGAACCGGGTCTGGAACCTCCAGTTCACGGTTCAGGATCCAATTTTTTTGATTCATAATTTTAATAAATTGAAATCCAAATATTGGGTTCTAGATCTGAATCATAACCGGAAACTTTTAATTCGATTGCTATAGTGTCCGATTCAGTTCGAACCGAATCGTAATCATCCTTACGTATACGCAATAATTTGTTGGAGAAATAAAATAAATAAGATGTTTATTTTAAGGGTATAAATGTCAATTTAATATATTAGGGGGAAAAACAACCACTTTTAGAATAATTGAAGGGGTTAATGTGCTTACCTAAATAATTGAGGGGGAAAAAGTGCTATAAGTATATAATTCAGAGGGAAAAAGTGCCATTTTCCCAATAAAAAATTACCATCATGAAAGAGAAGCAAGTGAGAGAATATTAGACATCCTTGGACAAAGAATGAAATTTTTATGGTCCCGATGCAAGATAAAGATAACAATTGGTTGTTCATTTTTTATTGCATTAAAAACCTCTTTTCATTTTTTTTTACTTTTCTTTTTCTTTTTCTCTTTCCTCCTCATCTCTCCTACTTGGCACCTAAAAAACTACACCAAAGTCTCCACTATTGAGGATGCCCTACTACGGTTGTAAAAATGAAAAATGCGTGGGAAAGGGTAATTGAATGAGTGGAGAATGTTTTTTTTTTTTTTTTTATACCCATAGTTTTCACCGTCAATTGTGACACCTCTTTTAAATAAAGATGGGTAGTTCCTTCCACCCAACCACACACTAGATTTAATTTAGTGGAGAATGTTATGAGAGAATGTGTAGTTAGTGTGATTTATTCTTTTAACCATCCTATCATATCACAATGTGAAACTTTTAGAGCAGAGCAAATACTAATTTTGGTCACACGAGTATTAGCAAAATATAATTTTGGTCTACATATTTAATTCCTACAAATTTTCATCCATGGTTATTATTTTAGCGCCAAAATTTATCACACTGGTCACCCCTTCATTTAAGGCATGCTGAAATTTCAAAATTTTAAGGACATTTTTGTCTTTTTCAACTTAAGATTCCAATTTGAACATGAATAAAATGATTTAAGCTTTAAAATCGATCTCAATTCGCAGTTCTATTACTCATTATATTCAACCTTAATTTGAGGAAGAGAACTGTGAATTGAGATAAATCCTAGGGCTTAAATCCCGCTATTAATGCTCAAATTGGGATCTTAATTTAAAAAAGGACGAAATGCCCTTAATAATTTCATATTTTGGCATGTCTTAATTTAATGGGTGACTGGTGTGACGATTTTTTGCACTAAAATAATAGTCGTTGATGAAAATTGGTACTAAAACAATTGTCGTAGATGAGAATTGGTAGGAATTAAACATGTAGACCAAAACATGTAGAATTGCTAATACTCCTGGGACCAAAATTGGTATTTGCTTTTTCGAATGAGATATTTGGTCATTTATTGACCTAAGAAAATGTCTTGTTTGGTAACATAGTTAGCTTATTAGTCAATTTTAGCTTATTTAACTACTATTTTGAAAGGAAAATTCAATAATTTATTAAATCATAGAAGCAATACAAAAAGGAACACTATCCAACCAAATAGTAGAACCAGTACTAGCTAGAACGAGCTGCCCTAGCCAGAACATGAGCAAGCTTGTTCACTGATCTTGGAACAAAGAGAATAGACACTGAATCAAAGTGTCGTTTGAGATTGCATCAATCCTTAATAACACAAATCGCAAATGAGGAATCCGTAGAAGAATGGTTAAGCAAATTACAAACCACCTGACAGTCTGTATAGATGGACACTTTATGATAGCCATGAACCATAACTCACGACAGTGCTTCTTTGATAGCAAGAGCCTCCGCTAATTGTGCATCATTGAGACATCATAGAGGACCATTCTTCGTTGTCACGTAACTTCCTGTTAATAAAATATCTATTATGGGTATTTGATTAATTTGTTTTTCCAGTCCAAACACCTCAAAGTCTATAGAAGCGCGGAATAATGATCCAAGTGTCCAAGTAGCACTTCCTGTTTTCGTTGAAACCACTACTGATATTTCCAATCCACTGACTCTTCTAGTACGTAGGTTGTGCAAGTGTGCAACTTTACACTCTAACCTACGCAAAAACTCTACATATGATTTTCAATGAATGATTAATCTGATACTGACACATATTTTGGAGTACCCTTATCCCATCTTCCTCCAAACTTCTCACCCACCTTTATCAATTGACCCATTCCGCACCACTTCTTGCGTTGATTCAACTTGATCACATTTTTAGTAAGAACGCATCACAAAAAAAAGAAATTAAAATTTTAAAGATATGAATTAGCCAAGCACTTTATGCTCGGATGTCATGTAATGATTCTCTATATGGGAGTTCATGAAATCGAATCTCAGTGGAGACGGTATTGACTCTTTGTGCTTCAACAAGTTGAGAAAGTATAAATGAACAGATACTACAATGTAATAGGGTTAGTAACATTCAATAAAAATAAATTATAAAATCATTTTTAAGAATCTCATATACATCCCTAATAATTAAATGAAAGCATATCAGCATATTTTTAAATAGCATTATGCTATTTTTCACTTTATATTTTACCTCCTAATTTAATATTTTACTTTCTAATGTGACAATAATTTTTTGAACTTTTTTTTTTAGCATGATCTGACGTCGATCCAATTTAATTAGCCAGCCCCCTTCCCCTTTTTAAATGTAAAATATTGGGGGAACATTAATATAATTGGTACGCTTTTCCTTTTTAGGGCAAGAATGAATAGTCATATACACACTACTTTTCCATATCTTAATCGGACTTCAAAAGAATGGAACTACTCAGCTGTTTGTGTAATTTGTAGCCACCATTAGTGAAAGTGCGCGCATTTCTATAAATGTTTATTAAACACTGCTTTATTAGGTAAATTTTTTTTCCCCATAATATAACTAGAAAATGTTAATTTCATCATTTTTTAAGTGACGAGAAAAATTCTATGCATTAAGTAAATTCTATTCATATGTATTATTTACAAATCATACGTAAAAAGTATCTCATATTAGAAAGATCTCGTACAACAGACTCAATTAAAAGTGTATTGAGAAGAATCAAACACATACCAAATTTGATATATTTTAACTATGTAGCTTTTGATAATCTGTTTAACATGCAATAAAACTGACCAAATTACGAAGATTAAATTAATCAAATATATAAGCTAAGGTGTGACGTCCACTTGATAGGATAGATGATTTACTACGTATATTAATAGTGTCTAAATTCGAGTCACTAAAGTGATATTCATATTGCAAAGCATAATTACTATCTAAACGTGACTAATTCAATTTAATTATTCATTAATATATCGCATATAAATATTAATTAAACTGTTGTGTATGGGGATAGCTAATTATTTATTATTATTATTATCACCATCGCACCCTTCTGCACGACAATGAAAATAAGCAGCTAACAAGCTACGCATCGTCCCCAATAGTTGCAGATTTTGAAGAATTTTTACAGGTGTGATTTAAAAAGAGAAGATGAGAGATGAGAGATAAGAGAAAAGGGAAAAAAAAAGTAAAATAAAATCCAAAAAAAAAAAAAGAATAGTGTCAGATTAGTGCGCCCGACTGGGCGCATCACGCAGCAAATGGAGCAATTTTTTTGGGGTCGGCCACACTTTGGAAACAAAAATTCAATTCTTTAGCTAAGAACCCATATCCTTCTTTCTCCTCTCCTTCCTCAAAAATTTTACCAAAAATCATTAATGGAGTGCTCTAAAATGAGTGTAAACGTAAAAATAAAAATAATAAAATAAAATAAATATCCCCACCTAAATAGTAAATACTCTTTTTTAAATATTATTTACGCCACCAAAAGAATTGAATATTTCTTCGTGCCATTTTTTAATCAAGTTCATGTAATGGATAACGTACGGTCAATGCACGACTC